ACCCTATCTTTTATATAATACTACTTAAACTAGTATATAATAATATACTTATAGAAAAGTCTATTATAATTAAATTTAAAGAAAATATTTAAAAAATAAAAAAAATTCTTAACTTAATAGATAATAATAAAAAAGTTAAATATCTAATTAAATAAAAAAATTTTAAATATAATAAAAATATTTAAAAGCTTATTAAATATTTAATAAAAAGCTAGTAACTTCTTACTATATTTTACTAAAAATACCTAAAGAAATTAAGAAATTTAATAATACTAAATCTAAAAGAAAGCTCTAATTAATTTTTAATTTAAAAATAATAGATATAGTATTCTTAATAATATCCTTTTTAATAACTTATTCTATCCCTAAGTAAATAACTTTTAAAGCCTACTTTTTATATAATTCCTTTTCCTAATATAACTAATAAATTTAAAAAAGTATAACTTACTAAATATCAATAGCCTTCTTAAAAGCCTTTTCTACTTTATACTTTTCCTATTTTAAATAAGATTATTTTTACTTTAGATAATTAACTAAGTAAAATAATATTAAAACTAGAAAATAAAAAAGAAGATTAGAAAAACTTATATATAAAATTAGTAATACTACTAGTATTATAATTAATATACTTTAGGTAAATATATAAATTATATTAAAACTACCCCTTATAGATAATATAATCTTAGAAAACTTATATATTATAATAGGAAATATACTTAGGTATTTTAAAAAGATACTATTAAGAAAAAATATTATTAACTACCTAGGTAAGGTAATTATAGTTAATTTTAAAAGTAACTATACTAGGAAAATAAGACTTAGAAATATAATTAGATATAATTAAAAAAAAAAATAAAAAAAACTTATTAAAAAAAAAAAGGGAAAATAAGATTATTATAATTAATAGGTCTTTAAAAATAAAAACTAAAGGAAAAGGAAAATTATATTATAATATAACTATAATTAAATTATAAGGAAGTAGTATAATACTATAAAATAAAGGATTATATAATAAAAAAATTAGATAGGACTAAGTCTAACTAATTAGTTAAATAAAAGATTAATAGAATAATTATACCTATAACTAACTAACTAGTTAATTAAAAATATAACTAACCCTAAAGAAAGCTTAAAAGGGAAATATCTATATAAACTATAGTTTACTTTATATATCTAGTTTATCTTTTAAAACTTTCTAGTAATTAATTTAAATATAATTATATTCCTATATTTAAATATATATTTTTTACTAATATCTTATAAATATTACTTAACTACCTTATTTACTTTATAATAAGCCCCTTTAACTTTAATATTAGCTATATTTACCTAATATACTAGACCTTAATATTAAGATTATAATAATCTAGACCTTTATTATAATTATAATCGCGGTTAAATTTATATAAGATTATTTTAAAATATAGATTTAAATTTATTTAGTTAGATATATTTCTTATTATATATAAAAAAATAATAATTATAAAAAAATTAATAAAAATAAAAATAGGATATAAGCTATTAGTAAAAATATATATAATATATTCCTTTAGAAAAATAGATAAACTACTTTATAGCCTCTCTACCTTATTATTATCTAGCCATTACATGACCTTAGCTTGCTTATCTATATAAAATAAGTTTTATATAACTTAAAACTATAATTATTATCAATTAGATAAATTTATTTAATCTTTAAAAATATTTCTCTTAGAAAATATTATATATTTTAAATACCTCGAATATAGTTATAAAAAAGCTATTATTTTATACAAAGTTTCCTAAGTACTTACTAGATACTAGAGGCTTCCACTTCCAAGCTCGCATAGAATAAGTAGTACAGGCTAAACAGGCACAGCATACAAATATACTCGCAGACAATAAGTTTCACTACCCATAACAGTCGTTACTAGGGCTAACGCGTAAACTTAGGCCAGTACTAATCACTCTACACCGCTAATCATCCATTAATTACACAGGGAGAGGTTCGATCACAATACAATTTTAGGGCTTATATAAGATAGGATGCATTTTATACAGGAGGTCTAGCTATCGTAATATAAAAGTTCATATATCTACGGGTATATACTCTAGAGCATTCCTTCCCCCCCTTCATTTGCGGAGAAACCTATTAACCAGCTAGCCTGGGGCTATCTCTCCCTAATATCTCCGCACAGGTCTGACAGGTCGAGGATTCAGAACCTTGGAAAACTCGAAAACTCTGGGGTCGGATTCTCTCCAAACAGGCTTAATAAAATCCAAGCCGTACTCCGTCTTGAACGAGTCGTTACACCCTATTTTATTACCAATTGTTGGGCAAGGGTCCTTAGCCTCTTTGAGTTTAGCTCCATTGTCATTGGTGCCGACAACAATAATTCGATTTCCCACAATTGGCTTGATGAAGGCCGTCTTATGCTGGTGAAAGAGGCGGATGACGTTGGGTTCTGCACACAGTCCTCCAAAGCCGTGGTTTATGGTCTCGCGGTCCTTAGAAAACATACAATCCTCTATAAACTTCCCGACACTCCCTGGTATGACATCTCCTTGGTCAATGGAGATGATTCGTTCCGAGTGCCAGTCTGTTCCGACGGAGGATGCAAAGTAGATCTGATCTTGATACACAAGAGCCCCCATTGCATTAGGACGAAGTAGGTTGTAAACGTCGGCTAAATCGTGCATCTGCATGGCAAGATTCATAATCTCGCCATCGCTGAGACCTCCGCACTTGACATCAGTTTTCTGCGGATCAAATTCAATAATCGCCGTGTAGCTGATATACTGGCTCCCAGGGAATTCGGTCATGTAGGTTTGGGGCAGTATTTACCAGATCGCCCCAAGTCAATGATGATTCGGCATCGATGGCTGTTAGAAAAATGAACTAGTCTGGAGAATTAGTTTTCTATTATTAAAGTGTTGTTTTTGATGATGGTCACCTTCGACAAGGTTCGTGAAGATTCGTATGGAGATGTGCTGGCCGAATTCACGCCAGGCTTGGTTGTTGTATGATATAAATTTTGTTGCCTGCTACATTCCAGGTTGCAACCATGGCCGAAGGAAAGAGAGTGGGGAGTTGTTCGATTTGATGAATTATTCTCGTAGACGTTTTACTATAGGGGAAATATAAAATCGCCAATGCATCCTTCGAAGAAGAAGCAAGCGCCTGCTTGTTGGGAATATGACATATCTTCATAGAATCGCATGAGGTATTATCCTCAGTAGAGAAATGCGGAAACTGGATGGTGCTTCCGCCAAGCACGCACTACGTTATTAGCCGGCTCCCACGAGAACCGTTGCTGACATTCTTAGCAGGCAGGCAACAGGATTGGATCGATCCAATAGCTTTGTTGTGTGGTCGTATTTTTCCGATTTGGGATCCAAACACGTCAGGAGCTGCGTAAGCGAATCACTCGAATGTCCCCTCTCCCCTCGGCATCGTCAAATGCAAGAATACTTCCGCCTCATCACGCTCCAAGTTAGCGTAGTGTGTATTTTAACATTCCTTGTGGATCAGGCATTAAAACCTTTTACTTCATCATGGATGGCTTCTCCGTTGCGTCACTCAGCACCCTCAGCTCATCCGTCTCTCACCGCTCACTAGCGGCTGCTGCGGAGCTGACTGACCTGCTCCGCAAATTACCCAGCGATCGCCATGCCGAGCAGCTATCCTCTCTCTCCAAAGCCCTCCAGGCATTCAGCACGACTGTGAACCAACTTGCGATCTCCATCATTAGCGCCTCAGCCATCTCACAGCGCCTTCAAGCCCAGCTGAGCCGGTCGCTCGGGACTTGCGAGAATGGGTTGGTGTCGATAGGGAAACAGGTGATGCGGCTGCAACCAGAGACAATAACTAGCCTGAATGAGGCATTTTTGGCCATACATGACGACATGCTATTGGCTTATACTCAGTTGTTTGGCTACTTCGAGCAGGTTCTTGCAATGTGAGGCTCGGCATCAGCGTCGGAACCTACGTGACTCGTTGAAACTAACCCGACCACTCTGTAGGGCTGATAAGGAGGATCAGGACGCCTCTCTCGAAGGCCAAGAAGGCCATCGTATCATGAAGCAAGTAGACGATATGCTAAAGTTGGTGCCCAAGGTTGCCGGTGACATCTTGATCGATGGAAGCAATAGCGCGCCAACACACACATCCGCTGAAGCAGGGCCACCGGAGATTGAAGGATCCTTGGACTCACCGCCCGCCTACGAGCCCCCAGCGACAGAGCCTTCAACTCTTTCACCCTCTGGTCCTTCCACCTCATCACCTCCAGCCGCTCAGGGCAGTAGCTTCTGGGACTTGACTTCCATTAAGCAGTCCTTCAGCGCACTTACAGCTGGCCTTCGGTCCAAGCCAGACCCCCTCGTCAGCGCCCTGTGTGAGGCCAGTCGCCGGGGGGATGTTTCACAAATGGCCGGCCTTCTCAAACACGGCGCTAACATTGACGGCAAGAATGAGGACAGGGAAACGCCCCTGCATTGTGCTATCATGGCAAACCAGGTTCAAGCGGTTCGCCTGCTCCTGGCTTCGGGAGTAGACTTGAAGACCTGGTCTAAAATGCCCGCCATGTTTCTGGCAGCATCCGTGGGGCATATCAGCATCGCCAGAATGTTGCTTCAGCGAGGCGGCCCAGGCGCCGATGTCAAGGCGAAAAATGTATCTGGCCAGCAGTACTTTGTCGACGTCGTGGGTAGTGGAAACATCGATGGGGTGCGCTTTCTTTTGGAGCACGGTGCCGACGCAAGAGTAAAGAGCATTTCCGGTCGGCCCGTCGTTGTGCAGGCGGCAAGGAAGGGGAGTCTAGGGATGGTAAAATTACTGTTTGATTTTGGAGCCGATGTTAATTCGGCGGACGTCGCCGGCGCCTCCCTTGTATCGTTGGCTCTCGAAAAGTCAGACATGGACTTGATGGAGTTGCTGTTAACGAGAGGCGCAAAGCCCAACTCCCGTCGCGGTGATGGGGAGCGTGTACTCGCGACTGCGATTTCGAAGGGGAAGATTCCGTTTGCGAAGCGCCTGATGCAAGCGGGTGCGGATGGAAACGTTGATGATATAACGGGACAGAAAGCCATCATCAGTGTGGTCAAGGGTAGTAAGATTGAGAACAAAGAAAAGGTTGAGCTTGTGCGGATGCTTCTACAGAACGGGGCGAAAGCGACGTCAAAGGACATATTCTGGCCCCACATGCGGGCTCTCCCACTTGCTGTTGACAACGGGGTCGATGGAGAGGTTATCGCGATGCTACTTCGACACGGGGCGGACAGCACTAACACACTACACAATGGAGAGACCCCTCTGACCGAGGCTATTAATAAGGGGAGGGTAGATCAGATCGAGGCTTTATTGGCGAACGGCGCTGACCCGAATCTTGCGAACAAAAATGACAAGACACCCCTCATCCTGGCATTAGTGAAACAGGATCTGGGCCTGGTACGGCTGTTGAGGCAGCATGGTGCGGAGTTGGACTCTCCCGGACAGTCTGCACGGGAGTTTGCGATGACCCTCGGCCAGCCGGATATTTTACAAGTCTTAGGACTAGGACCAGCCCCAGGCTCAGATCGGGACTGGTAGCATGCAGAGAAATACTATCTATCACCTCTGATCAGTCTTAGAAATATGTCGCCTTGATAAATTTTCTTTTTCTCATGAATATAAACCTTGTTGTAGACCTTTGAAGGAGCCGATACTAGTAAGGTCCCAAAGTCGGTGTTAGATTCTGCTTCGCGTTGTACGTGATAGTGGACGCGGAGGGTGGACCGGTGCCATGTCTGCTGAAGCGCATACGTCTATTATTCGGATCTAGCGGGTTATGGTGAATCACGACGGTAGTGCGACAGAGGCAAAGAGATAAATTGTGAGGCTTCACCTCATCCGCTGGGGAAAGGGTGCCTGATAATGAGTAGTTCAAGGTATTGTCCGGTTCAACCACAGTGCCTACATTGTCATTGTTTACCACCGTATTCTTTAGGAACCTGGCCATTTACGAAGCGTCACGAAAACAGCGATAATACTGAGCATGGCTCTATATTATGGTGTCGGTCGGCGTAGGATATGACGGTTATAGCAGCAGCAACAGCATATAAACGCATGAACAGAGTTGGGCTTTCGTGCGTGCGACAGTGCGCGTGCCTATGAGAACCGTGGGGAGGTGGATGGAGAAAGCTTAGAGAGGAGTGAGGCGTTCACGTAAGTCTTCCAGCCTTCCAGACCCGCATGGATGTGATTCTTATCGAAATCGTTAGTGGCATGGCCCGGGCCCCTGGCGATCTACAATAATGTGGTAGTGAGCAGGGTTAGGGGGTGATTCTCTTAAGACGGACGTCCGTGGTGAGTTCGACAAGGGCATGGCTGATGAAGAAAACTATTAGGAAGTTGTCCTAGTTTCTAGGAACGATGCAAAGCTCTCTTTAAGGCCAGCTAGATGGGAATTGCCGACGTTGACACGATCGAGGGAGGACAGCAGATAGAGGAAGGAGAGCCAAGCGAAGAGCCACACATCAACTTTCTAAATGAGTTTTATATCCGTTCACGTCAGCTAGTTATGTGCTGGGATGCGGTCCGCTGGTGAGGCAAGGTTGCAATCTCCCCGCCTCCCTCCACGCTCCCCCTCCACAGACCCGCTTAGTTTATTATCCTCGGAATAGGTAGCAACCTACTCTAGACTGGCCTGTTCCGCCTTAATCTAGAATGAAAGCCTTTTCGTGTGGGACTCTACAAATAATTTATGCAATTTATTCAAATTTATGCAATTTAGACAGGAATGGAATTGGGAAGGGTACACATAACGAAACTCTTGGAAGTATGACGAGGTAACCGATCAACAGAGAACCATAAGAAAAAGTCTGAGAGATTATTCGGTCACGTTCACTTGGCGTAGCACCCGTAGATAACTAAGAGACGATATTCAATGGAGTTATATCGGAGCCCTAGTGATTAGACAAGAGCTCGGACCTCCATTCCCCCCCAAAGTAACGCCTTGTAGTTGCCCTAGCATCAAGGTACGACCATTGGATATCCGATTCTCGCCATGGACCGTTCTCCACGGGTCCCTAGCTAATACCTCGCCGCTGTTCTTGCGTGCTGCTAGGTCTTGGAATAAAGAAGATGACGCCGGGGAACACCTATTACGACGTAGTTGTCGAGGTTTAAGTAGGATTCGCAACCTCCTCATTTACATGACCTGCGCCAGCACGGGAATATAATTGAGTGCGATTCTGATGAGGAAATTCAAGAATGTTCTATGATAAAATATACATATTAAAGGAGTATAAATGCTAATTTGCAGCGGCGCAGAGACCATTCCCCTATGCCGCCAGTCCGGCATGTTCGCACACATTGCCTCAACAGCCCTGGAGCGCCTCGGCCCAGTCCTTCACGAGGTCTAGGGCTGCTAGCAGCAGGTTGATCGACACTGCCGGCTCGCCCGGCTGGAGCGTAGGCCGCCAGTCTCACTAACTACCGCGGATCGTGTCCGATGGAAATCGCGCGGGCAAGTTGTTGGGTATTCGGGTCTAGGGACGTAGACGTTAGACGGCTTTCACGACTTTGCCCAGGCCCACGGAAGTACCAGCCTCTGCATTTAACGGCGGCATTGGGCAGTTGTGAAGCTTTCAAGATCGATTGCGATTGGTTCCAGCATCGGCCTTTGCGATCCGCCCATTGCTTGAGCCATCTTATGAGCCAGGATTCTGAATCCCAAGTCGACCTCAGTAGTCCACGTACGGTGCATATTGAAAGAAGAAACGGCCGATCTCCCAAGTCACCGACATCCCCCCACAAGTCTGCCCTAGTTCTATCAGCAAGGTTCGCCTATTCTCGTTCTAGGGTAAAGCGGAGCATCCGCTCAGACGAAGACGGTCCCACTTGGATCTCATTATATCTAGCCAGAAAAGATATAGTATCTAGAATAGAAGAATGGAAAGAGCATTCTCACGTGCTGAGCGGCCTAGCTGATCAGATCATTGGTAACCTGTAACAGGCTAGCGTCCATCGTGGAGTATAAAGGAATGCTCTTATCAAATGAGTCGAACAAGAGAGTTCTAGGGGACATCGGCAAGATGACGTCCATTGTCGTGGCGAGATCGGGAAGCATTTGCATGCTATCATCTCCAAATTCGGTGAGTGACTGGGCTTCGGCACCGAGAGGCGTTATTGAATTACTGCGGGCCATGCTATCGACGTCGTATGGGTAGGCCGGGGGCGTAATGGCAAAACCTGGCTTAGGTGCCACGGAGCGCCGTTGTTCGGCTTGGTTGGCTGCTCCTCCAGTGATTTGGGCTTGGGCATCGGGTCTTGTGTGGACGGTCCCGAAGAGGCCGCCAATAAGCAGTCTCTGCCTCTCCATCTTGAATCGGGTTCTCTTATCGAGATATGCGTTGCAGGCAGCCTGGAGGTTCTCTACAATAGCTAAATTCCTCCTAGCTACTGCATCATTGTGAGAGAAAATGGACAGTATCTTGTGTGCATCGGCAAGGGTCTTCTCAAGTGGAAACAGATGGTCCAGATCGCAAAATTGAGCTAGCCCAAGAACAAGGGCCGCCACAAATAATGAGTTGACGACGAAAGGCAGCCGTTTGGGTATGTCTTCGGCCGATAACAGTCCGCGCAACAGGTCCACAGTGCGTATGGCGGAATCGACGCATGCGTAAGACACGATTGGGTCTGGTGAGGAGGCATTACGCCCACGATCCTCGAGATCATCATCTTGCATCGCTCCCTGGCATATGTGCTTGGAAACGGTCTCAATCAAAAATGGCCGGGAAAGTAGCATGATCGTCCAGTAGTAGATTTGCTTGAGGTGGTAGAGGCCAATGTTCGGTGTTCTCTTCCTTCCATTGGCGTCGAGGAACTCCCCTGGCTGGACACTATCAGCAGCAAGTCCTTGGGGAAACCTAATGGCCCATTGCCGATGGCGTTCGCTGATCCGCTCCAGCACCTCGGTGGATACCATGCGCTTCGAGTAGACTTTGGTTAGAATTTCCTCAAGGATAGCACATAAATCGTTTGACGCCGAGTAATCGCCATCGGACTTGGTATCTCTCGTCTCGGATGTCGATGGTAACCGGCCAAGTGATGTGCTTGTGAAGAGGTCAAGCACTCGCAGAGATTTCCATAGTCGTTCCCTCGCTGCATACTCGGATGCATCAAAGAGAGCGTTGATATCATTTCTGTGAACGCCGAGAGAGTAGGCAGCTCGCGCCGCGATGCCGAGGTACATGAAGGCCGCATTCCGGCGAGAAGCGGCTAGGAGATACATTGTAATCAGCAAATTGGCCTGCACCGTGGACATGCTTGGGTCTTCCATGAGGGCCGATGCCGTCAAGAATCGCCCGTAGTTGAAGTATCGTTCGGCTTGATCGTCTCTATCCTCCGGGCATACCTGCGCGCCTATCGCGAAGATGAGGAAGAGTATTGTGCCCATGGATTGTTGCGTAGGCCCGTCATAAACGTTGCCATGCCATTGCGAGAGATTTGCGCGTAGCTCTTGTTCATCAAAGAGGTTGAGCACGCAACTCGTCGCGCGCATGAACCATGCGAGCAAGTAATTGGATTCGTCCAAGTCGGGTCTCGCCGGGGGCTGCTGGACTATGTCAACAACCCAGTTTGACCGTCCTTCTGGCGTTGCCTCTACCAGACGGCTTCGTAGAGGGTCCTCTGTGAAGGGGCATGGTCCTATCGAATCGCTGACCAAGCGGCGGATGGTCTGAAGGAAGGTCAGGTTGGCGGCGTCGCCGATGAACATGAACTTGCCGCGACCGTCTTGAATTAGCCGCGACAACTGCGGAACAGGAGCTGTATGGCAGCTGTGAGCGGAGTGTGACGACGACGACCTGTGGACGTCCAAGCCAGCACCGGCGCTGCCGGGTCCATCAAGAGATAAGTCGCTTGGTGGCGGGGGATAGAGAAGGCTGGTGTCCTGACCAGAGTCGTCGCGGTCGTTCGAAGTAGTTGCGAGGCTCGCTGTTGGAGAATTGATGGCGCGCGGAGAGGTCGAAAAGCTACACTCGGCGTCGACCCCACGGGTGACGCAGCGTCCGCAAGGTTGCCGGCCATCGCACCGTTCCTTTCGACGCTTGCACGTTCGACAGGCTTTAGCACAACGACGACGGTCGGCGCTCCTAACTCTTCGTGTTGGCATAATTTATTTAGTTTTTTCCGTATGTGTGGAATGTAATGGTATGAAGTGGATAAACTTGAGGAAAGTGACAATCAGACAATCATGCAGTTGCATTATCGCTTGGGAATTTGTGGGGGCAAAAGAAAATCAAAATGCGGAGGTTGGTCCCTCGCGACATTCTCCACACACTGACACCAATCATTCCCACCAGATTTTAGTTCGCCGGTAATCCTGAGATCCCTAACGCGACTAACTACATCCAGCTGGAGTTACAACAATGATTAATCCTGCTTCTCCTTGAAGAGTGGGGTACCCTCATTAAGGAAAATGGTGGCGGTGATGTGTGAAGCAGAATCACGTACGGAAAGTATGAAAAGCATGAAAAATATGAAAAATATGAAAAGGGGGCCATTTTGACAGCCACGCAATCTACCTCTCAAGAGAAAGGTTTCTACCAAAATACAGAAGGGGTTTGATATGATCTGTCCACAGTTCGAGATCCTCCCTTGCTCTTAGAGGAGTTTTAAAAAGAAGATATTTTATGCTTGTGCCTCTTTGCAGGTTATTGTTTGGTATTTTTTATTTTGTTTTATTTTTTTTTTCTTCCCTTTCCCATCGCCACCCCACATTCAGGTGGGTGGGGGAGGACCCTGGCATTCCCGAGATGCCGAGGTGACGCAGGCCAGGAAAACTCATTTAAACGAGCATCAACCAGTTATGTGACTTCGGGATACGTTCTTTACTAGCGCCTTGATGTACCTGGGCACTCGAAGATTTCCCCAAACTTGAAGTCTTCCCCAGATATTCCCCTCATGATGCGGCCTCCAGAAAATTTCCGTCCATTCTAAGAAGCTTTGGAAAAACCCTATTTCTTTTCAAGACCGAGTTGGCGCTCTGCTCTTCATAAACTAAACTCGGTTAGTGGCATCAGACGAGGCCAACACAAAACCCAAGCTAGATTTTCACTAGTATCAGGGCCCAAACAATACACCAGCATACCCTTCTGGGTTGAACGATCGAATCGGGCGGAGGAAGGATATTTGAAAGCTACTATACTGTCGAATGTCGCATCCTAGTATCGGGGATGAACGCTGATCGGTCATGGTAGTTAAAGCCCTATCTCTTTGCTCATCAGTGAATTTCGCCATGAACGTCAACTTAGCAGGTGCTTATCGGCATTGAAATTCCAATACTGGACTCGGTGTGTGGTCGACTGTATCATCTTGGAAACACATGTAGTTTTTAAAATGTTCCCCTTTGGTGACGGGAGTCGGGAACTCATGATTTATACAGCATTGTCTAAATGACTATCAAAACAGGCCAGGAGGTCACTTCAGTAGTGTAATCAATTGATTCGGAATCCATGTTCGCTGTCGGGAGGTTTCTTCTAAGTTGGCCCAGACATGTGGAGCTTTGCCTTGTCGTGGGTAGGTTTGCTTGATGGTCTCACATTAGTTACAAGAGAGGTAGTACTCTCATGTATCTTTGTCAAGTGAGGGGAACTGAAAGGAGACTCATGGCAGACCCCGCACGAGATGCCCCTTTGGAGCGCCACGTTGCCAGATTGGATGGGTTCACAGGAGGGGAGGTGGGTAAATGCCCCTCTTGTGCCCCTCACTTCCGTTTTTGGCTCCCTTATCGGATATGCATTTCGGGAGTAGGGCGAGCTGGGGTAGCATTACCGAGAGCCGTCCTACCCGGTATCCGATGCAGGATTCTGCATGTTGCGTCGACTTCCCCGCAACTGTCATGTGGCGTAACCTTTCTCGGTAAGGAACAGCGGCTTCAAGGTATCAAGGGGAAGAGAGTCCAACGCGAACCAATTCCTAGCTTGCAATTACTGATAATTATGCCTCATGCTGACCTTGGCGCAGGAAGGGTTGTATTTGAGACGGTCGTATATGCCTTTGGCCAGACTGGGCATTGCTCGGTCATTCCTTTAGATGGCCGTCACGCCTTGGCGCCGATCGCCACCACGTCTGGTCGATTGGATGAGAAGCATGTGTCGGAATGGTGGGGAGGGAGGGCCTGTTGCTCGTCCACGAGGGGCTTCATTCTCTAGAATCTGAATGTACAAGCCGAACCACGCTCTCTACGTTATGGGATTGAATCGTGTCGGTCGACAGCTGAATAGTGAGACTTCTTTGATATTGCGCTCGTCGATTCCACGCGGCATCCCCTGCAAGTGACAGCGCTACGTCAGTCCTTGGCTCCCAAGGAAATCTAAACAAGGGCCCATGGAACCGAAAGTTCAATGTGGGGAAAGACAGAATCCAAAAGCTGTACCGCCCACTCGGGTTCCGCTGTAATTCAATATATTGAAGTAAGGATACTTCCATCGCTAGCTCCTTAAGGAGACGTTGGGTTGGTCTTTCACGCATTAGTGGAAAGAGGATATGGTACGATGCTGTATCGGGGTTGATGGCTGATGGAATAGTTCCGATATATCGGGGTGGAAGAAGTTCCGAACCGAGCACTAGCGAGCTAGCGCGACACTAGTTGTTGGGGCCCCGGACTCCTGCAATTGTGAGTTCTTTAGTTGAGCTACCTGTGTCCTTTTCTTTACCACGCTTTACATCTTCGGGTTCGGCTGGTTAGAATTATCGGGTTCAGATATGCTAATATCTTCCACTGCCCAACTTCCGAGAGCACCACTCCGAGCTGTCTGCAGTTGATTTCGGTTCAAACGCCCTCGCCGGTTCCCTTAGGTAAGATTTAAACGATCCAACAGCCTTGATGACTACGTCTTTAAGAACCCGCAGTTTGCCTTTCAAATTCAACAAAGTTATCCAGCATCAGCAATCTTTCATTTTTCAATTATTAGCATTGTACTGAAGCTTAATCATCAACACTTCAACGCAATCATGACCGTCCCATCAAAGACAGATCACGTGGATGTTCTCATCGTCGGAGCCGGCCCGGCCGGATTGATGATGGCCGCGTGGATGGCCACGTGCGGAATCAAAACTCGAATCGTCGATAAGAGAGGCACAAAGGTTCGTGCTTTACCGCATCGAGACCGATTCCTACTTATATATTAATAATGTTATTTTAGATCTTCAACGGCCAAGCTGATGGTCTCCAATGCCGTACGCTTGAGATCCTTGACTCTTTTGGCATCGCGGAACGAGCATGGAAGGAAGCCAACCATATGCTCGAGATCTGCTTCTGGAACCCAGACGAGACGGGCGCTATTCGGCGAAGCGGTCGCATCCCTGACACCATTCCTGGGGTCAGTCGCTTCCAGCAAGTCGTCCTTCACCAAGGCCGTATTGAGCGGTTCTTCTTGGATTATATCGAATCTAAGAGCCCCATCCGAGTCGAGCGCGGTGTGCTACCCACCAAGCTCGAGTTTGACGAGTCCTTGGCCGAGGACTCTGATGCCTATCCCATTACCGTGAACCTGCGACATCTCAGTGAGGAGGAGGCGACTCCGAAGCAAGCCTCGACCGCCGCCAACGGTTCGTGCGTTCAGGATGGTCTTTTCCGCAGCAACCTGGCTGCAGACGACACGGCCGAGCTTCTCAGGACTTCAGAGCTGAATGCAAAGGCCAACACCGAGGAAGTAGTCAAGGCAAAATATGTGCTAGGTGCTGATGGCGCCCACTCTTGGGTCAGGAAGGAGCTTGGATTCTCCCTCGTTGGCGACAGCACAGACTACATCTGGGGTGTCCTCGATATTGTTCCAATCACCGACTTCCCCGACATTCGCAGCAGATGCGCCATCCACTCCGCCAACTCCGGCAGTGTCATGGTGATTCCCCGCGAAAACAAACTAGTCCGACTCTACATTCAAATGACGACCACGGAGAAGATTGGCGATGGCGGCTCGAGGGCCGACCGCTCTAAGATCACCCCTGAAACGATTCTAGCATCCGCTCAGAAGATTCTTGCTCCATATAAGCTATCTTACCGAAAGCTGGACTGGTGGACGGCTTATCAAATTGGCCAAAGAGTCGGCACCAACTTCTCGGCTAAGGAGCGTATCTTCCTGGCGGGTGATGCTGTTCACACTCACAGGTGAGACTTGAAACTCCCCAGTTCTCCCTCTCTCTCTCTATCTCTCTCTGTTTTAGTCGCCGTTCATCGATACTGACATTCGAAATAGCCCCAAAGCTGGTCAGGGAATGAACATCAGTATGCAGGACGGTAAGTCGTAAACCATTCTACCGATGCGTGGAATGTTCACTAACTTAATATGAACCTAGCCTACAACCTTGGATGGAAGGTTTCCAGTGTCATTAAGGGTCTCTCCAACCGCTCGATCCTCAAGTCTTATGAGCGGGAAAGGAGCGGTATCGCACATGCACTCATTCAATTTGACCACAAGTTCTCACGGCTTTTCTCTGGAAGGCCTGCGAAGGATGTTATGGATGAGGAGGGCATCAGCCTCGAGGAGTTCAAGGACGCCTTTGAAAAGGGCAACCTATTCGCCAGCGGTACTGGTAAGTTTTTCCCCAAAAGCGGCTGAAACCGCAAGCACCCTATTCTGACAAGGTCTCGGTAGCTGTCGACTACGAGGCGAGCAAAATCGTTGCCAAGTCTCCTGAGGCTACCAACGGCGCCAACGGTGTTAGTGCCCCTGCCAGCCTTGAGGGATCTAAGACCACACCCGCCGTCACTAGCACTCAATCCCTAGCCTCGAACGTCAAGGTCGGTATGAGGATACCAAGCACAAAGATCCTGAACCAGTCCGATGCTCGCCCCTGGCATCTCCAAGAGCGCCTGCCTAGCAACGGCACCTGGAGGATCCTCCTGTTTGTTGGCGACGTCAGCATTTCGGAGCAAAAGCAAAAGATGGAGACGTTGTGCAAGTCTCTGTCGGGATCCAATTCCTTCCTCAAGCGCTTCACACCATCGGGCGCCAGGTACGATTCCGTGTTCGAGGTCCTTACTGTACATGCTGCCAAGCGAACCGACGTATCGGTCCTTGATTTCCCTGAAGTACTACGGCCTTATGACGAACTTGACGGCTGGGACTACAACACGATTTTCGTTGATGGCGAGTCGTATCACGAGGGTCACGGCCAGATTTATGAGACATTTGGCATCGATCCTAAGGTGGGATGCGCCATTGTTCTGCGCCCTGACCAATACGTGTCTTATGTTGGTCCTCTGGAGGATTACGAGACGGTCGACAAGTTCTTCTCAGACTTTATGATTCCTCAAAATTAATTTCATCGGATGACGGAATGGGCCCTGTAATGCTAGCAGTCATAGTACGGAGGAACACATTGATTGGAATTGAAATTTGAGTTTTAAGTTTTATTATTCTGCCTTCGCCCAATATTTTAATGCCTCACCGTGAACGAATGGGCTTTTCTCTCATCGCTTAATTATGCAAACGCTTGAGATCACTTCAAAAGGCCAGCAAGACCACGACGAGAGGACCTCCATCCCCAATTAGCCATCGCCGTGCTTCGACTACGTTTCACGTTTGATTATACCAAATTAGGTCGCAGAAGCAATGTAGATGTAGGCTTCTACGCAGCATCCAGAATCAGATGATGTCTCATCTCGTAACGCTTTTAGACACCTCTCCTCTTAAGCAGCGTTATTGGCATTTACTGTCACGACTAGGCGTCCTTGTGAGTGAAGGACTAGCATACATTCTATTATCAAGTGTCACGGAAAATCCGCCATACATTCTAACAATGTTCAATAGGTTAAGCAGGTTAAGGAGCAATGACTGACGTCTTCAGGGACTACAGTGCCCATTTCTCATCTCTTTTCAGATCTGGGGAATCCGGGGAAATCCGGGGCAAAAAGGGGAAGGGGGTTTTGGGAAGACCGCGCAACTGCCCTCCACCTCCATGCTGCTTCTTTGCGTCCCACATCCCACATCCCACATCCGGGGCAAGGGAACAAAAAGGCCATCGGCGAGCCTGGTTTGTAACATCTTAGTCAATATTCGTTGGACTAACGTGCATTTCCCCGCAAAATAGTGGATCATGGGCTCGCTAAGTCAAACTCTGTGGGGTTGATGGATGCCGATGATGACGCCGCACACTGCAAGTAGGTATAGTCCTTTCGGGTGTGGGGTTCCGTGCTGCTACATCGGAACCCTGGTCCCACTGCATGGTGGTCATGCTATCTAAGTTTGAGCCCACTGGTCAAGAATTCAGTGCGCGGGGTTGTCGGGAACCTATTCTCGGGCATTCGCGGTTCTAGAGATGTGCAACGCTACCTCAGCTTCCGATCGCGAAGCCACACATCCGAAACCGCCGGGGCGGATCCGACAAACAATTTCCGACCCGACTTGAATAAGACAACCCCGGATTTGCCTCTTGAAGATAGTTTCTAACCACCCAAATCCAGGAGATTTGCATCTATCGAACGATTCCGGGCGATAATCAGTCGACGCAGTTACGGGGAACTCCACATCAAAGTGTGTATTAAGACGAGACGAAGTCGTGTCCTCGAGCATTCAGTAAAACCACAACATCATTCACCATTCATTGTCCTACAGCAGACAAACCCTTTCACTTCCAAACAGCTTCAACTCTTCCCGCAGCTTCATTCTCAACTTCTCAAGATGGCTTCACAACAGACTACCAATGGCCAAAGCACCATCAGCCTTGGCCAGGAGTTCACTCAGATGGTCATCGACGCTACCGGCCCAAAGACAAACCCACGATTGCGAGAGGTCATGTCCTGCTTCATTCAGCACATCCACGATTTCGCCCGTGAGATCAACCTCACTGCGGATGAGTGGATGATGGCCGTCCAGATGATCAACCGTTGTGGCCAAATGAGCGACGAGAAGAGGAATGAGGGCCAGCTCCTTTGCGACGTTATCGGATTGGAATCGTGAGTGTGCCTGCTGCTTGCCCAGACTCAAACGTAAGCCTACATGCCGCAGTAAATGTTAACAGATATGGGCCAGTCTTGTGGATGACATCACCTATACCACCGCAGTAAACAGCGGCCAATCGGTGACGTCGTCGGCCATCTTGGGTCCGTTCTACCGACATGACCACCCTATTAGGCCAAACGGAACCACCATCTCATTTGATACCCCGGCTGATGCTGAGCCGGTCTTTATGTTTGGACGTGTTCTGAGTGCGGATGGGAAGCCTCTTGCGAACGCGAGCGTCGAGGCGTGGCAGGCGTCGACAAATGGTATGTCCACAAGCACGAAGAAAAAACGAGCATTCCCTCAACTTACTTACAATGATGTGCAGGCCTTTATGAGCAGCAGGATCCTAACCAGCAAGACCTCAACCTCCGTGGAAAGTTCATTACCGATGCGGAAGGAAAATATTCTTTCTATTGCATTCGACCTACTCCTTACCCTGTAAGTCCTAGACACCGGGTTTTCCTACGCTCTCAGACTAACAACAGACCAGATTCCGAACGACGGCCCCTCTGGACAGCTTCTTGAGATGCTGGATCGCCATAACTGGAGGCCCGCCCACATCCATCTTGTTGTAAGTTTGATCCTGATATCCTTTTCCAATCTCACATCATCCGGCCCTCTCTGACTTCGAATAATAGGTCCAAGCGGAGGGCTACAAGCCGGTCACCACCCAAATCTTCGACAAGGACTCCAAGTATCTCGACGATGACTCCGTGTTTGCAGTCAAGAACAATCTGAGAGTGGAGTTCGTCCCAAGGAAGGGAGATCCCCAGGCTGCGCTTGAGCTGGAGTACAATATTGGGTTGGCTCCTCTCGACAAGTAGGCTCCATAGTGCGTTGCACGTGTCTTGAGTATGAATGGAATGATCAGTATTTTCTATATCCACGATGTTAAATTGGTGTGACAATCTCATATGCCGTAAGACCACGGAGCTCATTGGAAGTCAAGACTGCTATATTTCATGTTAGACGTACTTTCGATGAATAAGATGGTGCCATCTTGTGAAGTGAGGTTGAATTTGAATGTAGTTATGAACACAACCGCGGTGGTGCGAGTCCTACTACATCCATTAAACCAATTCATAATCACCTTGCGGAGTGTGGCTTTTTTCCGTAATATGTGCAAGTTAAAAGATGCGATGCGGAGTTGTTAATTTTAAGATACCCTATCAACTACTTAGTAGCCGAGCAAGTTGCCGCGGAACAAGATTTTAGAGATGCGCAAAGACCAGTATACCCAGACAAAGAAACGAAGGAAAACGAAGGCTTGGGCTAATGTGCAAGTGGTCATTGGTTAAAACGCAAGATCTATATCTCGGCTCGCTTTCTTCTACTCGTCTATTCTTGAATACGTCTAAGCTCCGTTCGTCACACCATTCTTCAGCGAATCTTTATCATAACTAAAATCCCATGTCGGCTTGTCTGTCCCGTTGGGCCGGCTGGCCCTGGAGAAACCAAGCTTGACGCCATCGATCTGAACGACAGGACTAACAACTGCAACGTTCGCCTTGTAGGCATCCGAATACCATTCCTCACCAACCTTGTGCATGTTGAAGAGATCCGGGAAGATTTTTCTCATTTGTCGCAGAGCCGTCCCGGAAATTTGGTCGACACTGTGGCTATGCCGGAGGAGCAGGAGCTCCTTCCCCGCGGTTTCCCGCAGCGTGGACTGCACCGCCTCGGGATACTGACCAACCTTGAAAAGAAGGAGATCATAATGCATGAGGGAAGCCTTTCCATGCCAGGACCCGCCGCGGGTTGCTCGATGATATAGACCAGTTAACGCGGCAATCGCACCCATGCAACCCGTGCCATAGTCTGAGATTGGGAATGGAGGTACGACCGGCTCGTTTAGCCCCATGAATCGGCCCTGTTCCCAAGCGACACCAGTGACCTACACAAAAGCTTATCATCAGTACTCTGGCCTTCGTACCAAGGAGAAACTAAAACATAGAAAAGAAGGGGAAGAATAAGGCAGGATGGAATAAAAAAGAAAACATACACAGTCGGCGATCTGTTGCCATCCGGGTCTCTGAGCCCACTCGCCCTCATAACCAAAGCAATTCTCATTTACGTAGACAAACCCCTTTCCACGTTTTTGAGCCCTTTCGGCGAAGGATTCCGGGCTGTACCCCAGTTTCGCAAGAGCGCCAGGACGATACCCGTCAAGTATAACATCGGCGTCCTCAATTAATGCCTCAAAGATTTCTCTCCCAGCAGGCGATTTCAGGTCCAGCTCCGCAGCATGCTTTCCCATGTTTCCATCGACCTGGAAAAATGGCACGTCGCTCAGGTTGGGGCTTGTAATCTTCAGAACATCGGCGCCATACTCGGCAAGAATTCTTCCCATGACGGGGCCAGCGATAATTCGGCAAAGCTCCAAAACTTTAATGCCCGCTAGTGGGCGGCGGTTGTCGCCCAACTTAGGCATCGCAAAGGGGGGCGTTGTAGCTTCGATATTATCAACACTCCAAGGCGGAAGATTTATATTTGTTTTACCCTTAGTCGCAGGTTAGCTCGGATTGTCTGGAAATGGAAGGGAAGAGAAAGGGGGCCTAGTTAGATTGAAAGTACATGTTGGGTGCGGAGAAATTCCTCATGTTTTAAAGCCGGAATACCAGCCTGGCGGTTTTGGAGGTTCAATTCTTCAAGCTCTTCGATTGTATGTAGCTTCACCTTGGACTCAATCGTGTCGACAATGGCATTGTGGTCCACTAGATCCGGCCTAAATGGTTCGAGTCCAAGCATCTGCAACGTTGTCGAGGCCTCAAGCGATCCGTGAATATGGTAATACTCCCCTGGGCGCTTCGTCTCGTATAAGTTTGCCGACATGCGTCGATATGGGTTTGATTGGGCTTGCAGGAGATCGGTGTCTATGAATCATGTAAGATGCCCACTTCCGATGCCTTCCGTCCGAAGAGGATCAATTGTCACTTAGTGACCGAAATAAATACCTTTCAATAGAGTCTTGACTTGAGGATCAAGCTTTCCGAGTCCGCCGACCGTGGCCAAGTAGGCCTGGAAGAGGAAGGCTGTTGTTTTCTCCAGGTTCACAGTCACGTGTCGTGTCTCTTCAGATGGCTTTCTTAGGTCTGCAAGCGCTGCACCAAGGCTGCCCTCGATGGCCTTCAGGGCCGCCGTAACTTCCATTTCTTTGAAGGGAATTGGGAAGTAAGGGTAATTGCGGGCCGCGGTGAAGGTGACATTTTTGCGGATGTGCTCGGCGTCGAGGGGTAGAGAGACGTGAGAGAGAACAAAGTCTAAGATGCGTCTTGTCTCGTCCAAAGACGAGTAGGTAGTGTTCGACATTTGAGCAAGCTTGGAAGAATACGAAAGGGAGGGCCTTGCAGAGATATCGCTAGAAAGTAATGGTGCTTCACGCTGTCATCCTAATTCAACTCGCAACGATATCGAAACATATATCGTGGACGAAGACGATCAATTAACCAACTATAAATTTATTCTTGCAATGAGGTAATCAGCCAGTTCGACAAAGTGGCACTCCGCGTGCATCCGACAAACACCCGAAATACACTGGAAGAACGAAAGCCGAGTCTTCTCCAGTATACGACAAACAAGAAAAAAACCCCAGCTAGTTTGTCACGATTGCCTATTACTAGGTTGTTCATGTATCATCTTAGTGTCGTATGTCTGTCGGAATGTGGTACAGGACCAGTTCCGGTCGAGGGGGTCGGATATGCAAGGGTCGGATCTGCGAGGTCGGATCGGATGTGGTGTCCGATACCCGAAAGCCGCCACAACACGTTATGTCCCACCTTTCTTGCATCGAATTTTAGGTTACTTTTTGATATGCTTCTCCGGCATATCTCCGGACTGGCTATTATCAATCATTGAAAGTGGTAGTAGAAGTTGAGTGCGACTTGAGTGCGACTCATTAATCTAGTCCTGAAACTAACTACAGATACGCAGGTATAGTGACCTTAATTGAATTACGCATGACGACTGTCGAATCCGATAGTCCCTCAGAAAGGAATGTTCTTGGAATTATTAATATGGCTTAGCTTGAATTGAGTAGTGACAATATAATGTCTATTCTCTACGTCGCAGAAAACAGCTGGCCATGGCGACAGGAGTGACGCTGGCTCACCACCTACTCTCTTACTTATCTTTGGTTTGGGAAAGTCTAACTTTTTCTACGCCATTGCATCCCCAACACTAATTCAATTGAGTTCCTCTTTCTCTTGTATATGTTTTGACAGTTATGGTGAGACGTGGCTAGGCTAGAAATCCAAGGCCTTCGAAAAATATCTGACTGACATTTAACGCTGGGTAGGACGTTATCGATCTAAGTACTGAGGGTATGAATGCTCTATAAGCGGTGTTAAAAATGATGCCGCCAATCACTCGATGCCCTTGGAGTAAAATGGAACTGGGCCGTGGCCGTTGACCATTCGATGGGGTACCGTGTGGTTGGCGAAATAGCGACCAAGACAGAAGCCTGCCGGGGCTATCCTGCTTGGCGCCATTCGGCCTAGTCAAGCACTAATTGATGTTTTCACAAAGCTGATTCACGTAGTAGCCGCCAGTAAGTATATAATCGCCAGAGCTAGCGGCGTAGATATGCCTATCAGAACTCATCGACTCGCCTTGAGTACGATGGAAGCAGATGTAATCCCCGCGGGTACTACAGAGTTAAAGACAACGACAGTTATCTGAGAGCCCCTCCTCTCCCAGGAATCCAATAGGTATCTTGGACTCTGCTGTGCAATAACCACCGCCGAGGTTCCAAACTACCCTTCCACATATCGCCCCGTCTTATTGGTGGCTGGAGCAGAGGACAAGACGGCGCCTCTGTTCCCTGCGATGGACATTATTAACGGGTACAAAGTTGTGTCGAAAATGGTCGAGATTGGTATTTAAACCCGAAAAAAAAAATCGACATCTGCTAACCATGGTCTCGAAACTTACATATGGCTGGGATTTCCCCACCAGTGGAAAGAAGACACGGGGTTCTCGACTTAAAGGTGTTGGACATTGGTCCTGCATTGGAGCTGGTGGCGGAGTGGGCTTTCAAGGCATTGTTAAGTACATTAGAGGAAGCAAAGAACCCCGAGATCAGATTTCATAACATCGAACCAAAAGTCGCTCAAACGTCGTCGAACTTAATCCCCAGGTGAGAACAGCTAAGATTCCGTTGAACGCTATATAACTAATAAACATTTAACGCCCAGCTGTGAGCATCAAGCCCGTCCGCCAATGGTTCCTCGCCAGACATCTGGAGGGGACGTGCCTTGCGTTTGACACGATTATAAGACAGGAAGAGGTGTTTCAATGACACTTCCAAAAACGAGATGTACAATTCGGGTATCGTCGGTCGCTTTAACCCCACCGGAGCAGTCATTCCGCCCTTCCACCTTCAACATAACAGAGATTGTACGTCGTACCCTCTGTTCGCTTAAGCTCTGGAAACACAGGCTGGCAGGCAAGAACGTTCAACTTGATTCGGTCGAATTCCCCGTGGTCTATCACCCCGCACTTCATACTTAGATTATTAGTGTAGTGCAGATGATACCTGATATAACCTAGCTCGTCTTGACCGACCATTTAGAGGGTTAGCGATTAGGTAAGAGGATACGTAGAACGACTTTAAGAGGCAGTTCAAGTGTTGCACTAATAAACATAGTGAAGATAACATATTCTCCATTTACCCGATTACTGATCGCCTATCATCTGACCCGCCCTTTCCTTGACTCCAGAGTCCTCGGGATATATCTTGAACCCCTCTTACACCCCTCCCGTCTGGTTTTCTAAACTTGTACGAATCCCTACCACTTCCTAAGACTTGCTAGGATCCCAGGCAATTCTCTCCTCTATTTCGTATCACTTCTATTTTCTACACTTACGCCTTACTACAATGACCCTCTCTGGGAGTTGTATGTGCGGGGGGATCAAGTACAAGAGCAGTAGTAAGTCCGGCTATGATCGACAGGGATGTGATAATGTTTCGCCTGCCGCCAAGAAAAACATTCATTTGATGCTTGATCCCTACTTCCCCAAGGATTAGTCCGGTCAGTGAGTGATGGCTAACTCCTTCGAATTCAGGAGAGCCGGTTGTTACAGCACTCTGTCACTGTACAGATTGCCAGAAGGTTTGTTCTTTTTAGACGACGAACGAGTTTTGGCATAAGTACTGACTTTCCTTAGTGGACCGGCTCTGCATTCACATCGAACGCAGTTGTTCCGGAAGACTCATTTGAGGTTGTTGACGGTAAGAATTTCTGGACCTTCGATTTCCTATTCTCTCAAAGATGTAGTGGTAAGAGCCTTGCGTTCTAACGTCGGATGACAGGGAAGCCAAGCCATTATGATGTGACTGGGGCGTCCGGGAAGAACAATCGACATTTCTTCTGCTCCACATGCGGCTCCAGCCTGTATACGAAACTGGACATTATGCCAGGAACCGTCGTTATTAAAGCCGGTGGATTAGACAACGGACAGGCGGCACTTGGGAACAAAATCGCCGTCGAGTTCTATTGTAGAGATCGTGTTGGTTATCTAGGTGGTCTTGAAGGAGCAAAACAAGAGCCTCAGTTTGGCTAGAGTAGGCCGATATCGACAAGTTCGGGCGATATTGCCCGATCGACGAATACATGGGGTATGGGAATTTCGGCAAGAGCTCTCAAGGATAGCCTTCGATCTACTTTCACAAGTCCACATGGGTATAGCACAGGCAGAAACGCGTAAAACTACAGAAAAACAGAAGATCAAGTATACTCGCTTTGAGAACTTTCGATGTCCGTATATAGTAGGGGAGGAATGTATTTAGTTAGCTCCCGGAGGGGATTGACAAGTCCTTAAGAACCAAGTTTCTCGTGAGATGGATCAGTACAGCCCTGACCGAAATATCACCTACAAGGTAAAGAAACAGGTGAGTAGCCAATGGCCAGAGCTGGAACTCACAGACATCGTATTCTCGTTGATCAATAGGAAACATGTTTGAGCACACAAGGGAATTGAAAAGGGGTAGCGGGGTAGAAACTCAAATCATACTAATATATAGACAAAGGTGCATAGCAGACACGCTTGTCCGTTGTGCACTTCCAGAAAGTTATTAATTTCACTTCTTGGGATGTTTGAGGTCGCAGGCTCAGAACGTGAGGCGAAAAGCATCCCAGCCCCTATCTTCTAGGCTAACGCACAGGCCGGAATTTTTTGCGTGGGATGAGATCGGGCGGTTCTTGGTGTGATCGGTGGGACAAAACCCCTCCGAGTCAATATGACTCAAGTGGCCCCTGCAGGTACGGACGTGCAAAACCCCGTCTGAAGATAATCCCAATATCAAGGAGAAGCTTACAATGCGCATTAGCGGCGCCTCGAGCCCCCCGAACAAGTCGATCAACCGACCGTCTAAGAATTGCTGTCCCAGCGTCGACATGAGCATCATCGGATGTTGTAACTCTGATTCCATCTGGCAGCATCCTACACACAGAGCTCAGCCCCTCGCTAGCTGGGTACGCCAAGATGATATTGTGCAAGACCTGTGGATCCTGTAAAAAAATATAGACGTGGAAGAAGATTCACGATGGCCTCTCGATCCCCCTCCAAGCACCAGGTAGCTCCTCCTCGGTCTCGCTACCATCAATATATGGCGGCCTCATATACACGGCCTCTCTGTCATCCATCCTCAATAAGTCATATCAGTGCACATACGAGGCGACTCGCATATACGTCCAGCTTACATCCTCCCCGTCATGCTCAGTCGCACCATAGGTACACCGTATACGGTCTCTCTGCGAGGTCCAGCGGCCCCCACTGTCGACAAAGCAGCTTGACGACAAGGAAGGCTAGGCCGGGATGGCCTAGAGATTCAAGGCATAAGTCGTCCATGAACAGGCAGTATTCATACCGTGGAGTATCGGTTGTCTGGGTCCACTCCAGATCGTCAATAGTAGCTTTTGAATCCGGTGCGAGCCTCAATGCCAGACTTTTAGGAACCCAGTTTTAGAAGTGATCTCGGACTTCGTGAGACGTCGCCCCACTATGTAATAATAAGGGGGGTTAGTGTACACCTTCCTGTCTATCCATTGAGAACCGCGGTAGAACGTACTATAAATCACATGAAGAAATATTAGCGAACGACGTGGTATGGGTTATGCTTATCACCTTCTCCTGCTGCCTGCCTAAAGCGCCTTCTCATCAATAACATGCAAGTCATGATACGGAAACGAGTCTTCCTGATGGTATAATTTGAGGCTACCCTTAATCTTGTCACGGATACAACGTAGCATGCGATTCCAGGCACCCTCGTCTGTTCCAGTACAGCAGTAGATCTAATTATTATTCACTACATTCAGCCTTTGTCTTGTCATGACTCGTAGGTAAAGTAGAGGGAGCTTTACCCACAGCAAAGCCCTAGACGCTATCTCGGAATTCGGGGTTAGTTATCCGAATCCTGATGGAATCGAATGATGGGCAGTCCACGCCGTAAAGTCCCTTTGATGGTAGGTTGTAGTTGTAAATCTCCGGTGTTGTGCACGGATTGCCATGGCTATGAGAGAGCTCCTGAATCGCAGCTGCCTTCGATTCAACGCGTTACTCATGACAGTCCAGGCAATGATGGGCCTTGTGCGACGCTGGGTTGCAGCGAGAACACGACCAGTCATTCATGTACCCAAAGCAATTGCAGACGTAGATTATGTTGATGTGAAATGGGAAAGGGAGGAAGGCGGCATATCTGTCCGCAAAATGTAATCCAAATCTCAAAATGTTGGTACGTGCACCAATCCCCTAGATGTCACGTCTTTGTCGTATCCCGTAATATTACCTGGTCTTGACCTTCAGCTTAAGAAAAGTACATTACGAAGAACGATTAAACGGCAACTGAGAAGATGACAGCGCAAAGTACGAAAAGCAAGAACATACTAGTAGCCGACCGAAGGGAATATACGCAAATACACATATTTATGTGTCGAAGACATGGTGGAATATGGCTGTCACAATGCAAGCTGTGAGATGTCAATATGTATAGTTACTGATCCAGTGATCCTTAACACTGATCGAATCGTTTCTATTAAGTAATATTTTAGAATTTCGGGATATCATCGACAAAGACATCAATTCAATCATTTCTGGAATCAGTTTGTCTCCGAAGGCAATATCAGCCATCTCCACGAACTCAAATTCCTCAGAGCTCGTATCGGAACTCCCGATTCTCCAAATCGGTGAGATCGAAAAACTCGTGGTTCGCTTCGACCTTGTAACTGTCTCCTTGCTCTGCCCTCTCCTGGTCTCTCTGTTGATTTCGGCGAACGAACACCCAACGCATCACCAGAAGGTCAACCGTGATGAGGAAGTAAATGATGCAAATGGAAATCTTCGCGGGAAGATATCTGGGAGCGTCCCGGGCCTGGAAAGTATGGGGAGAGATGATGTTACCGATGGTGTAGGCGATGGTACCAATACACGCCACAGTGACCTTTTTCGTCGAACCAGCCACGTTTGAGCTCTGAAGACCGAGGATTGTTGTCCAGCCTATTGGAATACCTCCGCTGGTATAGTAACCGATGAGAGCTGGCACCTTTTCCGTTGTCGCCATCAGGATAGCTCCGACAATGGCTGGTAAATGGCCCAAAATGCAGAAGTACAGTCGTTGCCGAGTCTTCATCGCACCATATGTCAATCCGACGAGCGCAACAATCTCCCAAGCTCCAAGAGGTGTGACCAACAACAGGGACTCGTGGCTGGAGTAGCCCATTCCCTTGACCAAGATGTTGCCGAAGCTTGTCGCGATCGAGTTTGGAATATTGGCGGCAAAGATCCAGAAGGCATAGAGCCAAGTCGTGACGTCTGCCAACGCCTCGCGAACGTGGTTCCATTTGAAGGCTTGTGAGCCAATTCCCTGCTCATTATGTCGAATTCTTTCCAAGTGAAGACCTTTCTCTTCTCTACTCAAAAAGCCGGCCACCGCTGGAGAGTCCGGCATGATGAACCAGAACAAGATTCCGACACCCGCGGTTAGGAGGCCGAGGAAAAGGAATATGACCTGCCATCCTTGGAGCGCAGCGTTCGGGTCGCTTCCAACATGTTTTGCCACGCCGTAGGCGAAGTATCCGCCAAACATTTGGGCTGCGCCGCAGACCGAGAACCAGATGCCCACACGGAAGGCCTGCTCTTCCTTTGTGTACCACTGCGAGGTGAACAGGACCCATGCAGGCACAATCGCAGCCTCAAGCACCCCGAGAAAGAATCGACAAGCGAGAAGGCCAGGGTAATTCTTACAGGCAGCCATACACGCCAGCGTTGCGCCCCAGAGGGTGACATTGACAGAGACGTACTTTGCAAGAGGAAACAGCTGGATAAGGCGAATGGTTGGGAATTCAAATGCCAACTGGCCGAAGAAGAAGATGGAGGCTACCCAGTTGAATTCGTTGCCTTTCAACCCCGTCGACTGAATGATACCGGTTACACTGGCATATGAAATGGCGGTTTTGTCGATGTACTGCAGAAAGTACACAATGCATATGAGTGGCATGATGTGCGCGTCGATGCGTCGAATCAGTTTTCGGTTCCGTTCTGGGTCCAACGGCGTCGTTAGGGCCCCAGTCTCGTTCAGGAAGTCGAGAGCCGCATCGGCATCAGCTATTGGACTGAGTTTGACTGGGGCTGGTGCTTTCACCGGGCCAGAGTCGGACGAAATGGACCCCGCCTTCTCTTTCGCATCTGGAGATGCGATCGCGATCTCCTCGTGTTTCTCGACAATTTCTGCCATGATGCTCTCAACGTAGGCTGCAGAGAAATAAAAGACTGACTGCACTCTTGCCCTTATGCAACATAAACTCGCATCCATAGATTGGCTCCTCGCATCTTTTATACACGGCGAGCAGTTCAAGCACGCAGCAGCTCAAGGTCCAAAATGTTACCTAACATGGTGGTTAGGATCCACGATAAATCCTTCGAGCTTCCTTATTAGGAAGCGAATATCCACAGTGAAGGGAATTTTGGAATCGAAAGTCGGTCGTTTTTGCGAGCACGCCATTGACGCGAAAAGTGACATACTAGCATGAGTCGCGACGGATACGAAAGGGATGTGGGCCTCGGATATGCCGGCACACGAACTGTCAAAATAGATAGGACGGAGTTAGCCATAGAAAATTAATAAAGGCCGAATTCTATAGAGGAATCCCTCTGAGGTTTTAAAGCCTGTCCTTCCACGATCCAGTTACAATCTCCCCGCAAGGCTTTCCTCCAAACTCGCTAATTTCTAGGCCGTTGCCTCGGGTCCTCTGGCTACAATGTCGCTAAACTGTACCCAATACCTGTTAGTAGCATCGGCTTCAGTCGGGTAACCTACTCTGCCGGCTCAGCAGGCAGGAAGCTATGCCATGTCTCCCAGCAGCAAGAACGCCGAAGAATAGCTTCTCTATTCGGACGTTTACGAGATGGTCGAGGCATCAGGGAAGAACTCTGAAGTAACATTGCATATAGTACTTAAATATTCCTGAACTGCGATGAGGACAGGAGCGACCGCGGCGATGGAAATGCGCACGCTAAAATCCTGGCGCTTCGTGTTATTATTACCGGTAAATAGGAGGGCGTTATGATTGTCTGTTGTTTAAATTATGATTGTCTGTTGTTTAAGCGAAAACCGAGGAGATGGACTTCTGCAACAGCATTTTTAAATTATTTACTAGAACTACCGCTTATTTTATAAAGTACTTGACCTCTATGGACAGGGGATAGTTAATTAATATAAAGATAGTCCTTCTTTAGCGATGCTTTAATGAGCTTAATGAACGCTCTCTCTCTAATAGCGCTTGTGGCAGGTTACAGTAATTAGTAACTACAAGAAGAGAAATAACTCGCTCGTAAAATCAACTAACGAACTAAGTTTGGTTTCCCCGGGAGGATGTCTTAGCAATGAAAGACTGTCCAGTATCGAATTCGTCCAGTCGGGAGCAAGGTGTGAAATTTTAATTCTTACTTCAAGCTCCTGGCTTCTAGTGCACTTACGCTTCTTCTTAGTTACAATGGAAAGAGTTAATTCACGCGAGATGGCCGGCCGCGGGACAATCGACTCTAATCCTAACCAGACATTCGCTCGCATTCTAGAAATCGTGCGTGCTCATGATGGGACTTTACGGGTAGCATCGTGTTACCAGGAGCGCCATGGACCGAATCGTTACGAAGATATGACGAAAATCTCACAGGCTGAGAGAGAATCTATTTACATTAAATTCTAGGTACAATTTTCGTTTTTAAATTGCACTTTTTTCCGTTGAGAAATGGATGAGTCATTGTAGGCGATGCTAGTAGTAATGAATGCATCCTGTGATGCCAAAGCTGGGGGGGAAACTTGGGTAGGTACTCTAATATACCAAGGTGAATCAACACTAACAACTTGGGCACCATGAGCAAGGAAGACCACGCATTCTGCAAATAAGGGTCATGTATCTTTAGGTGCTCGCCTACCAGCATTTTTATCGTGGCGCGCTGTGATGTCACTGCTATTCTTTATATACCACAATCACCACAGCTGAGTGACTCGCTGATGGTGCATGAAGACTGCGTAGGCGTCCCAAACAACTCCACCATGCGGTAACGCGGAGACGAGGTGTGAAAGTGGGTGATGCCCTTGGCGTATGCGTCAAAGTTGTCACGATACTCAGGTTCGTCCGCAAGTGCAGCCAGCACACGATCGCGGACGCAAATGCCCTCGTCAGCCACAGTGCGAAGCGCTACAACTACGTCGACTCCATCCTTGTGAGCGCGCATGTCAATGTAGTTGCCCTTCTCTCCAGCCAGATGCTCCTTGTAGAAGGAGATGACGTCGTTGACCATGTTGGTAAAGACGATCACGTCGGGAATGGTCTGGACAAACTTCTCGAATCCACCTGTGGGCAGCTGAGGGTCCGAGACGCGTGCAAGTGCCAGCAGGGCGTACATGGGCGACAGCCCCGTCTTGAAGCGCAGCCAATCGGGGAAATTGGGAGCCTCTCGATGTACCTCGGCATGCTTGGTCAACAACTCGATCCCAATGCCATTGACGAAGTCATAGCAGGCGATTACAATCATGTTGGCGACGAGCGGATCAAAGTGCTTCCACAGTTTTGGAGTCAGCTCACGGGCATACCAGTCGAGTACTGCATCGCCGGTTGGCTGTCCTGTAGCAACGTTGAGCTGCAGCTGACGCAGCACTTCGGGCTTCCCTTCAAGGATATCTTCAGCATGGAAAAAGAAGATTGTGAGCTGCGCTACTATAACTTGGTACTCGAGCGGGTGCGAACAGGTGAAGTCGGCTGCTACATAACAAGCAAAGGTGAACTGATTCTTGGCGTTGATTAGGTCTAAGTGGACCCCGAGGGTTGATGACTCCAGTTCCGACACGACGGCAGCGCGAAGCTTCTCAATAGGGGTCAATGTGAGGGCATCAGAGTCGATTGTGCGGCCCCCGGTGACGCCGCTAACAAAGTGCGAGAGAGTCTCCCGAATAGAAGTGATGGACTCCTATTTTCCTGGTCAGGACAAGCATCCTTTAAACTTAGGTAGTAGTATATGAAGTTGTTAGGGGAGTAGCATATACCTCAGAAACCTCAACCATGTTGACTGTTGACTAATAGTTCGGCGTATTAGGGTTTAAGAAGTGCTGGACTCGGTTGAAGATATAAGAATCCTACGTCTTGAGTTTTGCAGACACATGTTGGGAGGAACGTAGCTTTTAAAATTCGTTGACGATGTCTTTCCCCTGTTACCTAAGCCATTAAGCTCGTGTGTGCGAAACCCCCGTTTTACCTCGCGTGAAGGATCTAGCAGCAATGCTTCCAGATCCGCGGACGTAGTGTGCAGCTTAGCAGAGGGGCTAGATGAACGGAAAAGGCGGAGAGCGAGGACTGCTCCGCTCTGTCGTCTCGTGGGCCTGTGAAGGCCCAAACGCGTTTTAACAATGTTACGACTGTAAACGGCGCAGGAATCCGCGCTCCTCTTACCCCATTGCTGGCTAATTGGATCACAGACGAGACCCGAAAACACAGCGGATAACTAGTATCGCGCGAAATTATAAGGAATGCCAAGGTGGGTGCATGTTAATGCTAGTGTACATTGGCTAATTAACTTTTGTCATTCTTATGACCTGTACTTTTAACCTGTAGTTACGACCAGTCGTTATGACCTGTAGGCACAGTGAACATTATGAATAATTAATAAACTAGATCATGTAAACTTAATAATCCGAATGGTCTGATTCTGTTACGACTCTATTAATAGAGACCCCATGTCGATTCCGAAGACACTCTCCCCTCCATTCTCAAATAGTCGGCTTGGAATGGTTAAGAATAACATCAATGACCTTGTGGTCATCATAAGTAGCAACAGTACGCTCACACAAGGCAGCAACGCGCTCCTTACTCTGCAGGCCGTCAGGGCAGATGAGCCAGATGACGTTGGTCATGAAGGACCGACGGTACTCAATCATGACCTCCGGGTCGTTGTGACGGTCGAACTTGGGTCCGCCAAGCCGGTGAAGCGTCTCAAGGTAGTGGTCCAGAATCTCCATCTCGTGGGCACGGCGGTCCTCGACACTCAACATGGCCGTCATGTGGTAGACGACGTCGTGGAAGCACGACCCAAAGTGGAAGGCAGACCAATCCAGGAAGCCAATGCGACCGTCAGCTGTAAAGTAAATGTTGCCAATGTGGGTGTCGCCGTGCAGCAAAGTGCGGAACCTAGGGTTGCGCTCGGAGTAGTAGCGGTCCAGGGCCTCGTTGCATCGCGTACCGTCCATGAGGTATTCAGGCAGCTGGGGTCGCCCGGGGGTCCGCACCACCTCATCCCAAGGGGTGCACATGAACTTCATGGCTGGGTCGTAGTTATTCCAGATCCCTGCAGTCGTGTTGGATATCCACTATTATACGAACGGGGCAGAAAAAGAGAGAAAAGAAGAAAAAAAAAAAAAAAAAAGGGGAAGACGGGGGTTCTTACAAAAAAAGGGGAAGACGGGGGTTCTTACAAGGATGATCCTCCTGGCTCTGGCCCCAGTACTTCGCATGCAGACCCGCAAGCTGCTCCACGCCGTTCATGACCTTCTCGACCGGGTAGGAAGCGACCTCGGCGGGAAAGGTGCAACCCTCGCTGTTGAGGTCGTTCATGATGGCGATGCCCTGCGTCTCGGTCGTGCCGCTCCACCAGCCCTTGGGGAAAACCATGTGATCCAAGGTGGGAGCAATCTTTGTGAAAAACGCGGCCTCGCGCTGTGCCAGACTGACGGTCCAAGGCTGGGCCTCTATCATCTTGGGGTCGAAGACGCCCTTGACGCAGACGTGTGTGGGCCTCTCGTCGCTGCTCTCATCCTCGTACGTGATGGTGTAGAACAGCTTACTCGCCGTGCCCCAGATATTTCGCGTGTTCTCGACCGATTTGACCTTGTGGCCAAGCTTGGATCCGAACCACTCAGGCGTCAGATCGGAGGGAAGGGCTGGAAGCTGCTCACTTGCTGATCGCGACATGTTTTCTTTCTTTTGGCTGTGGCTGCTTTGGCAGTGTTTCTTGTTTTTGTCTGCAAAGTAGATGGGGTCAAGATCGTGGCTGGGCAATTGTCGGTGATATTTAAGAACCAGCCCCAAACTGTTTTCTCCTTGTCCGCGTCTCTCGTTTATTCGATGACAGATACGCTCTAGTTGGGACTAACAGCAGCTCACTAGCCCCGGAAGTGTTACCCAAATGCTGATCGCGAGAGAGACCAGCACTCGATCCTTGACGTAACGGTTCATCAGTCACAAAGAGCGGATTCAGGAGTCGGTCCGGATACGAGAAAGTGACCAACCCGCCCAAGCCATGCAGACATTTACAGGTGGAATGTAACAATGTAACATTGCAATCCTTGCTTGCCCCGCCCGGCTCGTTCGGGACGCTCCCGCCAGAGGCAGCAACCCTGAGTCGTACGACAGTAGTGCCAATTTTTCCCGCCGACGGGGCGCAGAATTAGCTATACACAAAGTTGATAACTCTTGGTCAAGACACTACCCCGGTAAGGGATGAAAAGGAGGCGTCCGGGGCTCACCTTAACTGCCGATAAAAACGTCATTGGCGAGTCGGCTGGGAGAATTTTCGGTATGAACGAGTCCGAACTGTCCCGAGAAAATGCAGATAGAGATCAGAGTAGAAGTTACTGTATTCGTCTTGCTATTACAATGCTATTACTACCTCGGCTCCGATACGAGGCTTCTTGAACGAATGTTGGGTGGTCCTACGCGATGCATTACCCCTTTGGTGGGAAGAATTTCATATAGACAAAATGCCCACCCCCCTTTGCTGGAAGATTTCTCTGAGTCCTCGAAGTGGATGTTAAAATGTCAACGGGAAAATCCAGGATACATCGCAAGTCGGAATTGTGGTACCTTCTGTAAGCATGGCCAAAGATCTGACAACGACCGTGTATGAGCCCATCCAACCGCAGGGCCTCGCGCTCTCTCTGTTGGCCGTGACCATCGCCTTCACCATCTTATCCACTATCGTGGTGGTCCTCCGGTTCTACGTCCGCCTGTCACTGCATGCCTTCGCCGTTGAGGATTGGTTAATGCTTGCGGGATATGTAAGTTTTGGAGAGCTGTTTCGACGAATGTGAAATGTGAACGGCTACCTGACCCCTCTCCCTAGGTCGTTAACATTGGACACAACGCCGCCGTCATTGTCCTCGCGTATAGCGGGATCGGGTCCCACGATGAAATTATCACGGTCGGCATGCAGTACAAGATGGGGCTGTGGACAATCATCTGGCAGTTCTTGTACGTGCTCGATGGCGCGCTGATCAAATCGAGTATCATCTGGACGCTGCTTCGGCTTGCCAAGAACTTGAAGAAGATATACACGAGGATCCTGTGGGCGCTCTTTGCGTTGACTTGGGCTGTCTGGCAGATATCCTGGCCTGTGGCCATATTCCAGTGCAAACCCGTGTCCGCTGCATGGGGTAAGCCGGGAGACTGCGCATCCGGTCAGACGGTCATTCTCAACGTGTCGTACTTCGTCTCGGCCGCCAACATCTTTACCGATATCAGCACCACCCTAGTGCCCATCTTTTTGCTCCGTCATCTCCAGATGCCCAAGAAGGTAAAGCTCTTGACCATGGGCATCCTATCGCTTGGTGTGGCTGCGTCTGTTGCGACCACCATCCGCATCACCTACACGTGGGCGTATACCGCGCCTTCGGAGAGATTTTGTACGTTCTGTCACCTCTTAGGAATAGGGAAGAGTCAAGGGAAGAGACAAAGCTGACATTTGACACTTGGCTCTACAGACACTATTGGATACGTCGTCTTGCTCACCGTCCTCGAATGCGACCTGGGTATCATAGCCGGCTCCATGCCCATGCTGCGTCGTCTCCTTCGTGGAATCCTTCCCTCATATAACGCGAGCAACAAAACGCCTGGCCGGTCCCGCGATGTTAATCTGGTAACCATTGGCGGCACCGGTGGCAACGGGCGGCGCACCCACATGAAGCTGTCCAACGCCGGCAATAACAGAAACGACGGCGACCAGGACCACCATTTCCAGGACAAGGAAAGCAATGGCGACGGCGAGTCAACGCGTCACATCATTCACATCACACGCGAGGTTGAGCAGGACAGTGCTTCGGCTCAGGGTATACCTATTAATCAGTTCCATACCAGCGTCTCAGGTATATCACGATGTAACCACGGCCAAGGATACGAGGAGGCAGTATAAGAAAGTAAAATAATAAGTTATTAGATAATTTAATATATAGTATATCGAGGTATTATGCGCTCTCGCTTGTACCTAACAAAGAGATATAACTACTATAGTTAGGTAACTAATAATGGCATTATTGAGGTACCGTAGTAAAATAGCTGGACGGTGCTTTTATTTTGCCCTGTCCCTCGGTAGAAAGCGGTAGAAATCTTGGAAAATTAGGCCGGATATTTCGACCGGGTTTTTATAAGGCCAGTCCAAAGGTATAAATAGCTTTATACTCCCGCATTCCGCTTGAGTTGTTTTTAATCAGTCTCGTCTAAAGGGATGCTTCAGAAATATAGTAGATTTCCACTTAGAGCCATGTCGTACGACTGTTTCTGCGCCATCTGTGGCGGTCCCAACATCATGGTGCACATTTCGACCATGCCGCGCTCAGAGTATTTCCAGCGGCGACTCGAGAGGACCATGGCCGAGCGCAAAGCCCAGAATATTCCAGATCATGAGCATATGTATTTGGTTGAGGTCGAGAACCCACCTTCTCCTGTCCCGCGCGATGGCGAAGGACACGAGGAGGAGAACACCTACGACCGCGATATTGTGACCGAGGAGGATATTGCATGGACCAAAACCTTTTACGCGCTCGCGATCCGCACGCACCCGGATGAAGCGCATCAGCCCAAGCGGTAAGATAAATGGAAACCAGAGCTGAAACAGTTAGACGGAGACTGACTCGTACGTTATTTGTGTGGAAGGACAGGCCATTTATTGCAGGCCCGGGTAAGTATTCCGACCAAGGAGATGTTCACATGGACGATCCATGGGGAGCGTTCACTTGCTACAACGAGAACCATGACGGGCCCATCTGCTTCCCATTTCACCTGGACTGCTTCCAACTTCTAGAGAGATGTATCACGGGGAGCTCGCCGGCGTCTCCAGCTTTACAGAAGCGGACCTTGTTCGATGTAATGCGAGGTCTCATAAACGAAGAGATGTACCCCTCCGCTCTCAATATCGACTACGGCCAGCCAATGCCGCCAATTGACCAGTATTGGATATGCCGTCCTGGCGAGGAACTCTTCGTCGCACAACCGACCGCAACTCTTAAGTCTATGGATTATTTGAGAAGTGTGATCTCAGGAAAAGCCTTCAAGCTTAAGGATTCAACGCCTTCGTCTACGCCTTTACCAGGAGATGGAGATAACCCCCTCTGCCGCCTGCCCTACGACATTATCCACCGAATAGTATACTTCCTACCAACAAAAGACGTTGTAAACTTCACAATGGCGTCTTCGTACGCGAGGGGATTGCTTTTAGCCAACCGCACACTATGGTGGAGCCGTATGGCGGATGACATGCCGTGGTTCTACGAGCTGCCGGGGATTGTAAAGGAAGTGGAGGAGACCAGGGGTGAAAAAGTGGATCTCCGGCGAGTCTGGGTCTGGACACAGGAGGTGTCACGCCCTGTGCAGTTTATACGCGGCCCGTTTATGGGACTGGCTAACCGTCGTCGTATTTGGACACCGTGTTCGGTCTTGGCTGATCTATATCGCGCAAAAGTGCCTGACGACTGGGATGGAGTGTCAGAACAGTCGGAGGAGCCGGATGAAACAGATTGGGAAGATGAAGAGGATGAGGAAGAGGATGGGGATGAAGACGGGAACATCCCTGATAGCGGTGAGGGTGAACAAGAATCTCTTGATGGCGAGCGACAAAATAATAGACATGAAGCACTAGCAACTTCCTAAGGAGGCTATCGTCGTCCAATTCTAGTACATAGCTATAATTTTAGAAAATCAGTATCTCCTATAATTAAGGCTAAAATAGTTAAGCGAATCTAACTGTAGCCCAAGCACTAATAAAACGCGGTGTAAATAAAGCAATCAAATAAGATTCTTTATCTAAAGAACTCGTTACCCCAACTACTAACCTCTATTATTTGGAGGGTTATACTTTTTCTTATAGTCGTATAGTAGGGGTTTGTTTTAATACCACGGGTCGAAATCAAAGAGAGCGAACCCCGGATCTTTAAGTACTCGATTTTAGTACTTGAGCCAGCACTAATTATCCCTAAGTCCATCCTCGGGTAGGAGAGGAGCTGCGTGCTACCAGGTTAAGAACCGAGACTCTCCCCTTCTATTAAAGACTATATCGGCTTTTATCTTCTAGAAGTTGTTTCTCTTATTAATAACCTATACCTGACCTACAGGTAATCCCACTCTGCGCACGACCTCGCGGGCACCCATGTCTTATATTACGGAGCTGAGGCATGCGCCTTTCTACTCATGACCGGCTCCTTGGCTCTGCGGCGATAGCAGATAGCGCACAAGTTGGCCGCGGGCGTCCACGCCGCCATCAGCAGTCTTCTCCACAAAGTACATTGGCGGGTACTCGTCAATGTCGCAGTCGTCATACTTGTCCTTCCAACCAAGATTTCCTCTCTTGTCCCAGGTCTCCACGGCAGGGGCCCTGACTTTTCGCTCCGCACTGGCTGTTAGAGCTTTGGGGGGGCATGTCAATACCTTCCACTTGTCGTTGTTCCTGATGACCGAGCTATAGTAGTAGCACCCGTGCGAGTGTTCGGCGCTGGAAGTCCTCGCCACATCGACCTTGGCCAGTGGTCCGTTGGCGTAAACGACGCTTGTGATTATATAGTTTCGTGTGTAGGTTTGATCGTTGACACACGTCAGAGACTGCACCGTATTCTTCGCTCCTTTGAATTCAAGCTCTTTATTAGCTGGGATATTGCAGGGCTTCCTTTTTCACACACGTCCACCGCCAGTCGTCCCTCCGGCCCTGGTCTCACCCCCATTATTCCCATTGTTAAGTACTCTAGGATACGAGGAGCGCGTCGCTCGCGTTGTTTGGGCAGCGCATATACTGTCTTATTTGACTCAGAAGCGCAACCACATTGAGCTGTTGCAGCCTGGTGCTGCCGAAGAAGAAGAAGAAGAAAAAAAAGAAGAAGAAAAAGAACAAGAAGAAGAAGAAGAAGGGCTGGAGTATCTGGACGCGGAAACCGAAAGAACCGTAATTCTACAAGGATCAAGAGATTCGATTCGCTCAAAATTTCTTGATTGCATAGCCCAGCTATTGTCGCCGTCCAAAGGCTGGGAGAGCGTTACGGCGACGGCGTTGCGCGAACACGAGGACTCTATCGAGATAGATGTCACGAGAAATGATTGCTTTGGCATAGCCAGAAGTTGCCGGCCTGACCAGCGTGTGTGCGATTCCGGAACGGCCAAGACGGATTATTGCAGAGAGTTGAAGAACTACCTCTTCACTCAACAAGGTGGGATATTTCGGCTATTCCCTAAAATGAATCAGTTCTGACGAAAGGTTACTACAGCGCCGTCGAGCGAGTTCGAGCGCCTCGCTATAACATATACGGGCAGAAGGGTTGACCATTGGGTGGAGCAACTCCGAGCCATCCTTACCTTGTTGGATCACCGGGACTGGAGCAACCACCGCTGGTATAAAGGTCTGCTGGCAACCGAAACTTGGACAAACCTCACCGAGCTCCTCTGCAGAGGGGATAGCGAAGTGACTACGTTTAGAGAACAGATTGTCCGACAAGCCTACGAATGCGTCGTATCCACAGAGGTCCGTAGACTACTGCACATGGCCTTCGAGTCCCGGATTGGATCGAAACTGTGGCGCGCTTTAAAGTTTGTTGCTAGACCTGTAGTAGACTGTCGAATGTTATGGTATCTAGCAAACCAATATCCGCAGTTCCGCAAAGCCCAAATTTTCCAGGTTCCTCCAAGGCCGAAAACAAGTATCAGCTTCGAGTACCAGATCGATGTCTCCAATGCGTGGGCTCAACTTATTTCTGCTACGCCACCTAACTCCGAAGTGAGGATGATCGCTGCGTTTGCGGAGCAATTTTGGCAAGACTGCGCGGAGCCTTTTAGCCTACATGCTGAGATCCAGCTCTTCATGCATTATGAGGACAACCCAGAACTTACCCCGACTTTTTCCTACTTCGGCTGCAGCAAGAAAGCTTGTTTGCTATGCGAAACCTTCCTCTAGGCCTTACCTAGCCCAATAACTACTCGAGGAAGACATGGAATTTGTTACCCAGCGTGGGGGGTCCCTCTGTCAAGGTCATTTGACGCGGAGACTGCACTCAAATCGCTGGAAAAGATGCTCGTCTCCCGAATCAAGACTCTCCTGGACTGTCCTATTGAAGCACGCAAGACATATTTCGCATCGCCTGTACCACAATCCACTCTTGTGTCAAGTTTCTCGGCGTTAACCACTCAGGACTCATTGCAAAGAGAAAAGAGTATCAAACTCGCTAAGGAAGTGGAGAATACACGGAGGAAAAGGCGTCTTATCCTGTGAGTTTTGTCTCTCGCGTTTTATAGTGGGCTTTATATGAAGACGCGAACTGACACCGAAACACGTAAAAGAGAAGGGGCTGCTGTGCCTCCACGACCGACCGACAGTTCTGGTTCGAATTTCGAAGCGCATGACGCGTGCGTAATGTGCAATAAAAGCCCCGCCAAACAATGCAAGCAGTGCTATAGCTCCTGGTACTGTTCACGAGAGTGTCAGAAGAGCGATTGGTCCAGCCACAAGCTTCTTTGCAAGGACTTCTCTATCCAGGTTTCTCGACCATCTCCAAACCACAAGCGCGCAATATTCTTCCCGGTGGACGATGTGAAGCCGAGAATGATTTGGCTGCCCTGCGAGCGCAAAGTAGAGGATGAAACCCGGTTGCCATACGAAATAATCCATCCACATCCTTACCTTGGGGCGGATAGACCACTAGTGGGAACCATGCATATTGAGCACAACCCCATACGTGGTCGAAACCTTGGCTCCGGCATGGTATATTGGGCACCGCGCAAAGAGGGTTACTCAATTGCCGTACTATCTCGGGATGCCTTTTTAGTGGATGGCTCTGCCACCAACAAGAGCATCTTGAAATGTGTACGTACATCTGGGACTCCACCACACCGATTGTGCGGCCCCATGATCGCGGTACGAGAAACACCGTCCGAATTCTATGAGGATATTACCTTGGCCGACTTTCGACACATAATCGACTACATGATGAGCTATGGAATGACAGAGACCCGGGAGAGTGCCAGCCACGCAGAGGATCACACACATGCGACAATCCGTGGTGTAAAAATCTGCTGCTATGGAGAAGAAAAGCTTCATGGCTCTGAACCGTACGTCTCAGTCAACGTATCAAGAGCCCATCCTACTCGGCTCTATTACAGCCAAGGGACAATCTCTCCTATCTCAAAGCTGCTTGGAATGCCCCTTAAGCTCTGGAAATACCCGGACATCGACACCTAGATCGACCCGCCGGGATGGGATGAGAATATGACTGCCGATAGTAACGAAAACGCTGCCTTTCTGATGGTGGAGACAGGTCTAAAGAAGCCCGGCTGGGGTTGGGCTCCGTTATATTGGAACATGGATCTCGGCAATGTGTTGGCTGTCCGAGAAGATGATAAAGACCTGACCGTTAGTAACGTGAGGATGATGTGTTACTTTGCTAGGCGGAAGCTACAGCCTATGTTTGAAGATGCACTAGGGGGTGGCTTTGTTCAGAGGACGAAGCAGGAAGTTCTAGATTTTATTACTTGGGACAATATGGTAAGATATGTGGATGAGATGAGGGAGGAGGGCGGCTAGTCAGATGCAGTCCACTAAGAAAGGTAGCAGTGAAATCAATTAACCGTAGTAATGCTTGGGATATCTCGTATATTCAAGCGGCAGCACTCTATCATGCAGTCGCGTTCTATTCGAAAATCTAGGTCCAAAACCTAGATAGACGGCTCCATTAGACTATTATCAACATGACTCGGGGACGTATATACTGCCTTGGCCTGCCAGGGTTATCAGAAATTTCCGGTAAGCACCCAAAGAGCAGCTCTTTATCCGCATCGCTATGTGCGTAGACCCCCCGGAGTAGGCTAGACAACATCTTATCTCCGAACTTGCCCCGAAACTGCATGAGCTCTTATCCTCCTTCTACTCGGCCGAAGGAGACTGCTCATTTGAGTGCTCGTCGATCCTGCTCGGTGCGTTAAGCAAAGGCTTGCAAGATTGTCAAGTTCATGAACAACGACCGAAACCGCCATTTGACGGATTTAGTCTTGCTGCTGCATTAATCGAAGCTGTCCGTGGGATCCATGAACCGCAATGGCATGATGGCTCCAGCAAGAGTCGCCCCCACACATGTCATCTTTGTAAAGTGTAGATACTTTCATCACTAGTTACACCGCTATCGCCTTTACGTCCTAGTCCTCCCTAAGGTGCCCATGTTGCTCTGTAGACGATTGCTTGCCATTCCTTCATGACTGAAAAGGTTGAAACCGTGCCGGGATGATCCGGGCCAAGTGCTCGCCGCCGAAGATGGAAGCAATTCTGAATCAAGTCCAGAGCTTCTTCAAGGCGGCCCTGACTGCTCCAGGTGAAAGCAAGATTGTTCATGCTACTTAGCGTGTCGGGATGTTCCTCGCCCAGTACCCTCTTTCTCGCCTCCATCACTTGCAGCTGCAGCGACTCGGCCTCTTTCCATCGGCCTTGTTTCCGGTACGTCAATGCCAGGTTGGCCATGCTTATCAGCGTGTCGGAATGTTCCTCGCCTAGCATCCTCTTGCTCGTCTCAATTACTTGCACCTGCAGCGACTCAGCCTCTTTCCACCGGCCTTGTTCGCTCGCAATCGAAGAGAGTATGGACTTGAGATTAAGTACTACCCGGTGGTCGGCTCCCAAGATATTCCCTACCCGTTCAACGTCATTTCTTATAATGCCCTCTACTGTCTCCAACCCGCTATGTTCACGATAGCTATCAGAAAGGCGGATTAGTGTAGTCTACCCGATCTCGACTAGACTATTATATAAAGCTACATATTTTAGAATTACTAATTTCTAATAGCTTACCTAAGGCGAACTTGGGCTTCTTCTCTATTAAATGCGAAGGGCTTCAGTTAGTTATTATTCTTCAGGCACCCAAATCTAAGTTTATAGTAAAATGCTAGTTAGGTTAAGAGAGGTCTTATTAGATATTTAGTAACTATTTCTTCTAGACTCTTAAGGATATAGGATTATAGTTAATAGTTAGAATTATAGAGCTTATAGAGTAAGTAATAAAACTAGACTAGTTAGGAACAGACCTGCAACCAAGGTTTAAGAAACTTACTAAGAAGTAGCTCGAAGGTCTTTTAGAGTAAAAGAAAGTAATAAGAATATAATAGTACTAAAGAAATAGTAATCCGAGCCCTAGATAATATTATTAATATAGATAGCTCGAAAAAGAGCTATATTAATACTCTTAAAAAGATTAATTAGCTTAGAATTATATATAACTATAAAGTTATTTCTAAGCCGAATTTAATTTTTAATATACTTTAATTATTTCTAGAATTAGAAGTCTTTATAGATAATACTATCTAAAATACTCCTTACTTTAAAAAAGCTCTAAATAAGCTTTTTTTACTTAATATAATATTATATAAGGATATACTATATATAACTCGAGAAAAGGCTAATATTACTAAAAATTATATTTTAATTAAAAGTTAATTAAGTATATAAACTTTAACTTGCTTTCTAGATTTCTTTATATACTATAGGAGCCCCTTTTTCTCTAACTATAGTCTAACTAGGCTCTATAACTAAGTTATCCTAGCAGTAAGTCCTATACTATAATATACTCTTACTTATACTTTATAATTATCCCCTTAAAGCTATTTATTAGTCTCTATAGATAGGCCTTAACCTTAGCTTTAATAATATTATATTTTTTATTTTCTTTAATTATTTCCTTATATATTAAAGTATTATATTAATAATATTATTTTACTTTATTAGTATATAGTTATATAGATTTTTTATTAGTTATTATTAAAATAATTATTATATTAGAAATTTTTATTTTCTTATTTACTATTTTATCCCCTTATAGCCTCTAATTAATCTCTAATTAGGTAGTATATATATTCTTTATTATTTAAGTTAGCTTTTTATTATAAAACTTAATTAAATTACTTATTAACTATAAATATTTTACTATAGTATATTATTTCTTTTAAAGAAAATTTTCTTTTTATATATATTTTCTTTTTTTATTTTATAATAATAATTATTTCCTTTTTAAAATATTATATATTCCTATTTTTAATCTTTTAATAATATCTTTTTATTAAAACTAATTAATTTATTATAGGATATCTATAATTTTATTTTTAACTAAGATTATTTTTTAGCTTTATTTTATTAAAGATAACTTATTTATTATTTATAATCTTAAAATTAAATAGCTTATAAATTTTAAAGTAAAGCTCTATTTTTATTATATTATTAGTTATTATTAATTTTTCTAAAATCTTTATTTTTTTATAGATACTAGTTAAGTCTATTTACTTTATTTTACTAATAAGAAAATATACTATAAAGTTTAAATTTTTATTTTTCTATTAACTAAGCTATACTTATTATAATCCTAACACTAGCCTACTAATAGTATTAAGTAAATATAACTAGTAACAAGATTAAGATATTATCTATTAGTAGTAAAGTAAAGTAGTTAAGTAGTATTTATAAGATATAGGTAAGAAGTATATATTTAAGTATAAGAATATAGTTATATTTAAATTAACTACTAAAAAGTCTTAAAAGATAAACTAGATATATAGAATAAACTATAATTTATATAGATATTTCCCTTCTAAGCTCTCTTTAAAGTTAGTTATACCTTTAATTAACTAGTTAGTTAGTTATAAATATAACTATTCTATTGATCCTTTATTTAATTAATTAGTTAGACTTAGTCCTATCTAATTCCTTTATTATATAATCTTTTATTTTATAATACTATATTACTTCCTTATAACCTAGTTATAGCTATATTGTAATATAATTCTCCCCCTCCCTTAGTCTTTATCTTTAAAGACTTATTAATTATAATAATCTTATTTTCCCTTTTTCTTCCTTAATAAGTTCCTTTTATCTTTTCTCCTAACTATATCTAACTATATTTCCAAGTCTTATTCCTTTAATATAAT